GTTACATAGCTTGCTCAGGGTCACACAGCTAGGAAATGTCTGAGGCCAGATTTGAACTCATGAAGATGAGTTTTCCTGACTCCAGGCCTGATACTCTATCCACCGCGCCACCTAGCCACCCTATATACATATTTATACATACATCTATGCCTTATACTATACTAGAGGTTTATCCACATTTTAGAATAATTAACCTACCCACTTCATGGGGTTGTTAGAAGGAAAGTGCTTTAGGAAAACATTTAAAGTGCTACAGAAATGTGCCACTATTATGTAGAAACTTCAGTGATCCCTGATCTCCTCATTGTGCATCTTCCTTCCAGCAGTACACGTTGAAGCTCATCCACACCTCATCCCGTGCAGCTTTGTCTGGGTCCTCCTAGAAATCCTCCACCCTCATGGTCCAGGTCACACGCCTAGGGCACTCGCTAACAGTTGGTGGGCACCAACAAATAACACTGCCCATGTGTTTGTTAGTCCTTGTCCTCACTTCCTTGTCATTCCCTTTAAATGATGTCCTTGTTGTTGTCACTCGCTTGGAGTTATCCTAACCTTGGGAATGTCACGTCTTCTGGTTTTCAACTTTCGGCACTTTTGTGCTATATCTGATGCCCCCGCATCCCAGCCCCAGTGTAGAATGGGACCACTACGAACTTAACGAGGCCACCCTGACCACATTACTTCCCTCTCAATTCATAATTGATTGGGCTCTGAGCTAGAAGGGACTTCAGAAGTTGCCTAATCCAATTCCTTCATTTTAGATGAGGAAGTAAAGGCTACAATGGTTTTGTGGTTCACCTGCAAGTAACACAAATAATAAGTAACAGGGGTAGATTTTGAATCCAGATCCTCTTACTTCACATTAACCCTTTCCGCTTCAGGTGCCTCACTTGAAGAAACCTCCTAAGCTAGGCTGGTCCAGTTGAAGTGGATCCGGTAGATCCTGTCGCTGGATCTGAGGTCAGAGGACCAGAGATCAAATCCCGGCTCTGTCTTATTGGCTTTGAAACCTTGAGACATCACTTCACTTCTCTGAGGCTCAGTTTCCCCATCTTTAAAATGAGGAGGTTGGACTCAGTAACCTCTATGGTCCTTTCCGGTTCTAAATCTATGATCTGTGACGCTGACTCTGAAGCTCCATGAATTGTTGTCACTGTTGTTGTTGTCGTTGTTGAGTTGTTTCAATTGTGTCTGACTCTTCACAACCCCATTTGGGGTTTTCTTGGCAAAGATACTGGGGTGGTTTGCCACTTCCTTCTCCAGCTCATTTTACAGATGAGGAAACTGAGGCAAACAGGGTTAAGTGACTTGTCCAGGGTCACACAGCTAGTATCTAGGGCCAGTTTTGAACTCATGAAGATGAATCTTCCTGACTCCAGGCCTGGCACTCTACCCACTGTGGCACAGGCTGAAGACCAACTGGGTTGGGCATTAAGAGACTTGGGCTCCAAAAGGCCTTGGTCAAGTCATTGTTCCTGGCTGTAATGAGCTTTTACCAGCTTCACGTGTCTTGTCTTCATTTCAGAGGTCATTGTGAGGGCAGTATCAGATCCCAGGGTTGGGGTCTTTGGAAGAACAGTGCTATCTCAGGCCAGTATGGTGTGGCATCACCAGTATTGAGCCACCTATCTCGGAGATCAGGTCTTCAAGAGGCAGAGGACTCAGCCCCCCTTGACAGCCCTACCACCGAATACTGAGTTGTTCTTATTTGTCCTTTGTTTTTGTAGAGGACCAATGACATCATGGGGTGATGTCTTGACTCTCTAGTGAATCAGATTTAAGTGAGGCAGAGCTGCACAAAGTCATCAGCCTCACTCTCTCCTCCAGAGTCATCAAAGTCCAGCAGCAGGACAAAAGTCAAGACAACCAGTGATGGCCCAGGATGCAGTGGGTGATCTTGGTGTTTTTGATGTTTGACCAAACTCTAAGTGTTCCATCGTACCCACTTCAGATGCTTTCTCAGCTACTGGAACAAATCATTCTCAAATGCCCATTCCACCAGAGGCAGTCTTCATATGCTTGGAGGAGACACCCCCTAACTCACCAACAGGTCTGGGGTCCATCAGTTACCCTCAACTCAGTTTAAGTCCATTTGATGAGACAGTTTATCAGGGTGTGGCTGCTTTTTGGAGCCAAAGTGGAGAGCTGAGTGCCAGGTAGACACCAAAGGTGGATAAGCAGTCCTGAAAAGGGCTCAGCACCCTTCACACCACTGAGGATGCTACTAAAGGCATGCCATGCATGAAAATTAAAAGAAAAGAGTTGGAGGAGGTGGGATATATTAAGCAACTTAGTATGTGCCAGGCACTGTGCTAAGTGCTTTCCAAATATCTCATTTGATCCTCCTAACGACTCTGAAAGGTATGTGTTATTTCCCCCACTTTATAGCTGAGCAAACTGAGGCACCTCAGGTCATAGAGCTGTGCCCAGGGTCCCATAGCTAGAAAGTGTGTGAGGCTGGATTTGAATTTAAGTCTTCCTGACTCCAGGCCCCAAAGCGCTACCTACAAAGTACCACCTAGCTGTCTAGGGAAGAATAGAAGAGTAGAAATGGTAGAAGGTAATGGAGGATTAAGACAAAGAAGATGGAGGTCAAAAGAACAGGAGTTTAAGAAGAAAAAAAACAAAAGGAGAAAATCAAGAGAGAGGAAGATAAAGGGATTAAGAAAGTAGGACAGAATTGGAGGATCAGAAGAAAAGAGATTAAAGAGAAAGGAAAGAAAAGGGGCAGAAAGGGGAAATTAAAAGAGAAAAGCAGATAAAGAAAGACTAAGAAAGAAGAGGAAGGATAGAAAAGAATCTAAGCCTAAGAAAGAAAAAGAGGAAGAATGGATCAAAAGAACTGGAGATCAGAGGAAGGAAGAGAGAAAGGGACTGATAAGAATGGGAAAGAAGTAGAGAAAGCAGCACAGATTAAAGGCTGCTCTAGGGACTGAGAACACAAGAAACAGACAAAAGAGAAGGAACGAGCCAAGGACAAGGAGGCAGAAGGAAGAGTAGTTCTGCAAAGTAGGGGGAATTAAAGTCACCTACCTCTGGCAAGCTTTGACATCACATACCTTAGATGCCTTTACCATATATGTGTGGTGGGGGGGGAGGGTTCTAATGGGGGTACTGGGGTTATACTCCAGTAACCCCTGAAGTTCCAGCCCTTAAAACACAAATCCTCAATTTTCCAGGAGACCCATTTTCTTACAATAGCAAATAATTAAGTGAGGAATCTTTGTTCACCTCTTCGCAGAAACGTGTCTGTTCCTTCTGAGGCTTTTTAGGACAGTCTGAGGAACTGTTATGAGCACATCCCAAATATGTGATATGAAAGCTGAACCCCCATCATCACTGGTCACCTTCATTAAGCACTTAAAAGCTACATGAATATGTACAAAGCAAGGCTGACTCATCATTCATCAATGGAGCCCCTCCTGCCTGTACTGCTCTTTCCCAAGGGTCAATTCATATAAAACTTAACTCTCCTGTTTTGCTTGACAACTTCAAATACTTCAAGGACTCATGTTTCACTGGTGTAGGAGTTTTTGGGGTTTTTTTCAATAGACAAATATCTTTCCCCTTCCCCTTCCCCCCGTGAAAAATTAAAAACAAAATCTTATAACAAGTATGAATAGTCATGCAAAACAAATTTACATATTGGCCTTGTCAAAAACTGTATGCTTCATTTTGCACCTAGAGTCCATCATCTCTCTATTAAGGGGTGGGGAGCATACATCATCACAGGTCCTCTGGTTACTAGACTGATCAGTGTTAAGTCTTTCAAAGTTGTTGGTCTACACAATGTATTTATTGTATAAACTGTTCTCTTGACTCTACTTACTTCATTCTACATAATACAAGTGTTCCCAGGTTCCAGATCACAACCCTTCCCCACCTTAACAGTCTGGGTGTGCTGCTCTGGCCCCAAACCTTTATCATCTGATTACAAAACATATGGTGATTGTTCTTCAACTCAATTGTCCCAGTCTTTGGTAACAGATACCTGCGGTGGAGGCCTTTCCATCCTGTCAGGGATTGGGCTCTCCTGGCATGGCTTTTGAGCATATAGGCCATAAGGCAGCCTGGGAGTGGGACATCAATGGAAGAGTACAAGTACTATTCTGACCACTTCAAAGAGAGCTCGTCTAAAACCCATTTGAACACTCAAGCTGTGTTCTCACACCTCAGCAAAGGGAAACAACTTAAGGAGAAGCTGAAAAGTAAGGGCATATCCTAATCATTTGAACATTTATAGGAAAACTCTCTGAATGGGAACTTCTTAGAGGCAGTGCGGTATAATGGAAAGACCAATAGATTTACAGTCAGGATCTGGCTTTTAAAACTTGTTATTTATTATAGGCTTGGTGAGCTTGGTCAATGAATGAATTACCAAGTGGATAACCTACATAGTGGATAAGCTTCTCCATACTTAGCTAGGTTAATGCTCAAAAGCAAACTCAGTCTGCTGCTAGAGCCATACTCAGGAGAAATCAAGGAAGGGCCCCAGCACATTGGATAGACTCCCTTTGGGGAGGATGTGGACAAGAGTTGCAGAAGAAGGATAAGCAGGGAGGGGTCGCCATCTGTATCATTGCAAGGAACACCCAAAGTGATAAGACCATAGATCCATTTGGGTATTTCAATGGCCTTGTTCAAGTTACTCTACCAACATTAAGATCAAGGTCATTGCCTTTTTCTAAAAGAACATAAGCTGAAGACATTAGCTAAGTCTGGAGGTGGAAGTGATGACTACTTATGGTTGCTATCAAGAAAAGGAAGAACTTGGAAACAGAATTAGAGAAGCTGCCCAGTAAATTGTCCAGTCTGGTTTAGATTTTGAGCTCAGTGAGGTCCTTATCAGGCACAGGGTTCTCATCTCTCACAATGGTCACAGGAGGCAATCAGGGACACATTAATTTTCCTGTCCCCAATGAACAGAATGAATCACAGACCTCTATCTTTGCCCCTTTTGCTGGGCCTCTGATCAGTGATTTAAAATCCCCATTGCTTACCTTTCCATAACTCAACAGGATTATCCGCACCAGAACGACATTGATGTGGGCTCCCAATGACTCATCGTGATAGATTTCGTTAACCTGGAAAAGAGTGGAAATATTTCAGGCTGAGCCCATTGAGGTCATGTTCATACTGCCAGAATGATGATCTCCACATTAGGGCCTAGAGACAGAAGCCTGATCATCCCAAAGACATGTGTTTTTTTCTATAACCAGAATAAACATTCTGAACGCCTGGTTATGAACTCCTGACTCTCGGGCAGCACGCACAATGGGAGTGTTTCCTGCGTAGCTGGAGATTAAGTTAGGATATATCAAGTCAGCTATATATCTGACCTAATCCCTGAAGGCAAGGGTTTGATAGCCATTGGGAAGAGAGGACGTGATATCGGCCCAGAGAATGCAATGGAGAAGTGCTGGTCAGGTACGGAACCTGTAAAGGGTACTTTATCAGTACTTTTCTCTAAATAATTCAGTTAAAAACAGTAACAGCAGTAATAATGATAGCAGCTCATACTTGAAGAATAGTGTTGCTTCGTTGTTGTTCAGTTGTTTCAGTTATTTTTGACTCTTTGTAACCTTGTTTGGGGTTTTCTTGGCAAAGATATGGGAGTAGTTTGCCATTTCCTTCTCCAGTTCATTTTACAGAGGAAGAACTGAGGCAAACAGAGTTAAATGACTTGCCCAGGGTCACATAGCTAGTAAGTGTCTGAGGTCGGATTTGAACTCAAGAAGATGAGTCTTCCTTGATTCCAGGCCCAGCACTCTATCCACTGTGCCACTTAGATGCCCTTACTCTTTGTTTTACAAAGTACTTTACACATATTACCTCCTATAATCTTCACATTAATCCTGGAAAGGAGGTAATACAAGTTTTATTTTTTACAGATGAGGAAACTGAGGCTCAGATGGGTTAAGTGACTTATCCATGGTCATGCAACTATAGAGTATGAACGAAGTCCAATGAATCAACCTACATCAGAGACTGAAGCACTAACCATCCCCTTGATCCTTTACATTAAATCAGTGAAATTCTTTTGTTACTTGTAACATAGTTATGTCACTTTTCTGCTTACTGTCTTATTTTTGCTACCTGGGACAGGGAACTAAGGAAGGTAAACTGGGACCTTTCCTATGATAAGTTGTAAGCACACAATTAGAAGACTACTGGAGCCTTGGTGGTTCACTGCCCAAGAAGTTGGAGATGGGCAATGCATAGGCAGCCCACACTGTGGGACCCTTCAGAAATCCTTAAGATAGCTCAATGTCCAACAGTCAGTTTTGACCTATCAAGCTGGAAATAACAGAGTACAGAGTCAGCTTCTAATATGGGACTTCACAAGGGATGGAAAGGAGATGGGGAGGAAGCCAGAACAAGGAGATGGAGTCAGAAGCCAGTGAGTGCAGCAGATTACAGAGGCTGAGTTCGGCTCTGGACCTAAATCCCTATCTCAGGCCAGGGCTATGGAAGAGAGCAGGAAGGGGCATCACAAACCAGCCACCCCATCCAAAACCACAGAAATACGGCAGTTGCGGCATTCAGATTAAACAAGGGACAAGACTAAGTATGTCCTGCCTACCCCATCCAAGAGTGTGGAAGAGCTCAGAACTTGGTCTTCGTACAAAGTCCCACTCTAGAAACTAAAATTGGTGCTATGAGTAAATAGAAGAAAACTCTGAATATGGTGAAGAATTATTATGGGTTAAGAGAAGCCCAAGACACAAATACAGGAAAAGAGATTCACTCTAAAGTAAATACAAATAGAAGCTCTAACGGGTTGGGTGGAGTGGGGTGGTGAGGGAAGGGAGAGGAATGGCTTGGCTGTGAGGACTCCATAAATTTATGGAAGAAATGAAACCAGAAATTTAAAAATTGAAATCAAGCTCTTTAGGAAAAAAAATTGAAGGAGAATAAATAGCTTAGAACATAAGGTAAAGAGGGAAGGGAATAAGTATTCATAATGTCTACTACATGCTAGGCACTATGTTAAGTGCTTTACAAATATTATCTCATTAGATCCTCATAACAACCCTGTGAAGTAGGGGCTATTATTATTTCCAAGTTGAGGGAGGAAACTGAAGTAAATAGAGGGAAAGTGACATGCCCAGAGTCACACAACTATTAAGTATCTGAGGCCACATTTAGACTCAGAACTTCCTGATTCCAGGCCCAGCATTCTATCCACTGCACCATCTAGCTGCCTTATTATAACAGAAGGTAGAATGTTTATAATGAATAGAGCAGTGGGCTCCCTGAAAAGCAGAATGGAACACACATAATTCAAAGACTCCACAAAATAAGAAATATTGGAACAAAATCAAAAGACTGAAAAATCAGAAGAACATATGAAGTCAAAAACAGTCTACTTGGAAAACAGGTCAGAGAGAGTATTCTGGCCTAGGCCTAACTCAGGTCAGTCCAGTGATTCATGCTCAGAATTAGAATGCAGTGAAATACTCATGTACCATAAAAATGCAATAAAAGCAACTTTACTTAAGATTTAAAACTATACAATTCAGATAAAATGCTATGCTCTTTCACCTCCACACTTCCCATAGCAACCGCCACACTAGATCAGAAAGGCGTCTGTGAAAGGCAATTGGAATTCCACTAAAACCTTCAACACAAACTCCCCATAAAAGGGGAGGCAGGGCCTTTTATGTCTCAGGCAGCAAGGAAGCCAAACCAGGGACGACCTTGAGAATACCTTCCTTTAAAGGAAAATCAGCCCAACCTACAAAAAACAGGCAACATTCCTACCACAAAGAGACAATTTAAAGATCATCAGACTCCACGAAACCCATGACCCAATAAAATACGTGGGTACCTTATTTTAAGACAGTTATAAAACTGCCTATTAGAATATTAAATATAAATCATATGTATAATTTAGACACAAATTACAAATATGTAAATTTAAACTAATAAATATAATTTGTAAATATAGAATATAAAAACTGCTTAGTAAAATCAGAAGGTAAAGTGAAAATAGAAAGAATCTAACAATCACCTCCTGAAAGAAACTTTAAATTGAAAATATCCAGGAATATCATAGCCAAAATCAGGAGCTTTTAGGTTAAACAAAAAACCCTACAACAACACAACACAACACAACACCCATAGACACCAAGAAACAGTCAAGATCACATAAAACTATGCTGCAACTATGATGAAAGAGAGGAAATCTTGGAAGAAGACATACCACAAGGTAAAAGAAAACTACTTACAACTAAGGGATAAACCCTGCTAAGTTAAGTATATTACTAAAAGGAAAAAAAAATGGATCTTTAATAAAAAAAAAGTATCCCTTTCGGAAAAGCTGGGTAGAATTTTTGAAAAAAAAAAACACAGGACAAAATAGAATACCAAAAAGCAAAGGAATGGAAACAAAATTAGTGGCTATCAATTGGTGAATGGCTGAACAAATTATGGTATATGCATATAAGAGAATATTATTGTGCCATAATGAATGATAGAAGGGACTAACTTATAGAACCCTGGGAACACTTGTATGAACTGGTGCAGAGCAAAATGAACAGATGCAGAACACACACACACGTGTGTGTGTGTGTGTGTGTGTGTGTGTGTGTGTGTGTGAATACATAATGATGCAAAGGAAAAGAACTTTGAAAGAACTATAATGAGCAATCATGACTTCAGAAGATTGGAGAGAAAGCATCCTCTTACTTCTTGGCAGAGAAGGTGTAGTCTAAGGGAGTAAAATAGGCCACACACTTTCATACGCGGTCATTAGGTGATCTGGTTTGCTTCACTATACTTACGTGTTACAAGTGAGGGTTTCTAACTATGGAGGAGAGGAGTAGGGAATGAGAGTTGGTGGGCAGTGGTAATAATGCAAAAGAAGAAAAGAATATCAATGAAATATTTCACGAAGGAACAGAAAGAAGTTCAGAAGGGCACACAAATAAGCAGGGAAATGTTGTTACTATCATGTTAAATTTAATATACACTTAAAAACTATGTAATCGAAGTTCATAGTTTCATATATGTAATCAGCCTTTTCTGTTCTTTGTATATTGAAATGTTCATATTTTTGGTGTCTGTCAAGGTCATTTGAAAAAAGTAAATAGGGATAGGGACTGGACTTGTGATTTCACTGATGTAAAGAGGGAGCTCCCACTGAGGAAACTCTCTATCAGTGTGGGTTGGCACCTTTTCTATAACTTATAGGCTTAGAGAGTAGCCTAGAGCATTTAGAGGTTAAGTGACTTGCCCAGAGTCACAGGGCAGTAACTGTCAGAGAAAGTATTTGAAACTAGATGTTACCTCATATATGCATTTGTTACATTAATTTATTACAGCATGCTGCCTCTCCTGGGAAAAAAAGAGAACCTCTTTAAAAAATGATCTGTGATTCTTTTCTTATTCCTATCAGGAAGCATTGAAAAGTCATGAGCTGGTCTGTTGGGTGGTTGTCTTCTATGGTGCCTCCTTCAGCTGACTGTTTCCTTGGGAGAGATGGACTTTACTTTGATTATGAGGGACCTTGGTAAGAATGCAGGACCAACCATGTGACATATTGAGCAAGTAGGAAAAAAATCCACTTTTAGAGAGAAGACAAAGGGACTTTGCTATCATATACAGACTTTTCTAAGAATTGACCCAGAGCTGGTGTTCCATAGGGAGGGTATGCAAGGAGAGTACATTCACGTTATAGCTGAAAAGTGATCAGAGCAGAACAATAATAACTGACGTATCTATTGTTTTGAGGTTTACAAAGCACTTTCCCAATCATCCCCATTTGCCCCTCCAACAGCCCTATGAGGTAGGCAGAGCTGGGACTGCTAAAGACTGGGCAGCTAGGTGGTGCAGTGGAGACAGCGCTGGGCCTGGAGTCAGGAAGACTCATCTTCCTGAGTTCAAATCTGGCCTTCTCCACTTACTAGCTGTGTGACTCTGGACAAGTCACCTAACCCTGTTTGCCTCAGTTTCCTCATCTGTAAAATGAGCTAGAGAAGGAAATGGAGTGGTTACTTCAGTATCTTTGCCAAGAAAACCCCACGGACGGTGCTGGTGTGCAATGGTCTTTGGGGTCATGAAGAACTGGACACAAGTAGAC